GCACCCACACACACACACACACACACACACACACACACACACACACACACACACACACACACACACACACACACACACACACACACACACACACACACACACACACACACACACACACACACACACACACACACACACACACACACACACACACACACACACACACACACACACACACACACACACACACACACACACACACACACACACACACACACACACACACACACACACACACACACACACACACACACACACACACACACACACACACACACACACACACACACACACACACACACACACACACACACACACACACACACACACACACACACACACACACACACACACACACACACACACACACACACACACACACACACACACACACACACACACACACACACACACACACACACACACACACACACACACACACACACACACACACACACACACACACACACACACACACACACACACACACACACACACACACACACACACACACACACACACACACACACACACACACACACACACACACACACACACACACACACACACACACACACACACACACACACACACACACACACACACACACACACACACACACACACACACACACACACACACACACACACGTGTATCCCGAAAATGAAATATTAAAAACATGCATGGAATATGAAAAAAAAAAAAAAATAAAGAAATCCCAACCGCTAAAATAAGTTACGAGCCCAAAAAAGGTTATTTGAATATTCAAGAAACAAGATTTAACAAAAAATTTATAGGAAATACGCCGAATTCAATCATACGAATTTTTGGTGATTTCCGAAATACGGGTACGTTTTGACCTTAGCGATTTACCCCTCGTATTGGACCCCACTTTCGTAGAGATGAGCCAAGTTTTCAATGTAAAGCTTTATCAATACAAACTTTGATATACAAAACTAAAATTAGTTCCCAAGAGATAATAAAACTAGTGAAAATAAAATCGCTTCCTGACCTGCCTCAAACTATTTCGTATCGAGAAAATCAATATCTCATTTCATTGAGTCACGAGACTGAATATTATTCCCGCCCCCTAATCGAACTGTATAGCAGAGACGGAACAAGCATTCTGGCGCCCGCGGATAACTTTTAAAATGATAATAACTTCTTTGAAACAGCATTTTGGAACAAACAAAATTGGTTCAAAATAAAAAAATAATTCTAGAAAATAAACGGCAATCTCACAGATAAAATAAATTAAAAGAATAGAAAATTCTTATTTTGTTCATTAAACCAATAAATAATCAGTTTAAATCCTGATGATGACTTTGAAGAAGTAGGAGTTATATAGTAGGGTGGATCGAAAATTAGAAAAAAAAATATTTTTCGAAATTTAAGTAGGACTATTATGGAAAAGTTGTGACTGGTTGTGATTATGTTTTATATCAAAAATGAAATTTTTTTAAAATATTCTAGCCGGACCCCTTGGGGCTCAAAAAAAAAATCCTAAAATCTACCAAGACGAGTGCCTAAATGACTATTTACTGCCTTAATAAGGTTTATATAAAATATGATTAAAATATTTTAACATTTCGTCCAGCCCCGCGCTTGTTTGAAAAAAAAATTACTTAAAAATTCTATTTTGTGCAGCTCTTCGCTTAATTTAATATTTACAATATGAAAATATGTAATTAAATATTTATTCATTTTTACTTTCCTATCTGTATACAGATATAAGGAAAGAATAGGAATCATGTTAGTTAAATATTAAATCAACCCAGAACTCACCACAAGGAGGTGGCCGCACTTCTAGTTCCACCCACCCACCTTCCCACCCATCCCCTCACCTACCGATGCATCCTAATATAAGCTATTCATCTTGTAGCATAATATTGTCCTTTATTATCAAATTTTGGTAAGTCTGTTCTTGCGTCAAGTTTCGCTTTTATATAGCCATCTCTGGATTTTCCTCCGCACAGTTTCAAAGATGCATCTGTTATCACTTTAACATATCCTTCGACTGCCTGAGTGTGGCTTGGAAAATATTCAAAATGTGATATCTCATTTTTTATAATGTCTGAAAGCTGTTCTTCAGACATATCTTTAGTAAGGGGAGGTTCACTAACAGTACAGTTCGACCAGTCAATAAGATCAAAGTAGTCTTGGGAGTCAGAGTTAATTTTTGGTATTTTAAAAATATGTTTTTTTATTCCAAGTTTTCTGGCCTTAATGACTCTTCTGATAGCTAATTCTCTAATGTGCTTCCGTGTATCGGTCAACATTGCCATCAGGATATTCACGGGATGTGCGAAATAGGCATTGTCCTAAATTACTTTATCTATAATAACTGTTATGTCGTTGGGGAGTCTTCTGGATACGTTAATCATTTTCCACAAATGTGTTGCCCTATTTTGCAACCATGGTTGAGTTTTTATTTCAAACTACATTCGACAGTAAACCTGTACTATAAAATCAACAAGTATGTGGAAAGTTTTTGTTGGGTCTGGTGTTGCAATATAATAATAATAATACTCTCCCTAATTCACCCCCTTACGAGTGAATTTTAACCCCAAAAGCTGAGCTTGTGCGGGGAAAGGGACGGCTATTATAATTATTTGCCATGGCGTTCCGGGGCGACTTAAAGATGATTGATGGTGCCATTTGACTTACAGGTGAGGAAAACCCGGAAAACCTGCATGGCGATTTTATAATATGCATGCCATATCAACAGAAATTGAATTTCTATTATTACGGCACCACATCAAATCCTAAACCGAACCATGCAATTTAATTAAAAATCCACATGGCCCGGTCTGGGATTCGAAGCCCAGCAGTCTCTAACTCATAAACTTGCCTATAAATGAATATAAGCGCGTCAGACCGCTACACCACCGACCCGTAAGCCATCGAGAGTATGCCATCTTACCAGGATTTTTTTCTGCTAAACTTGTTGAACATATTTCTACCCCAATTGCTTCACACATTTGGAATAAGTATTGTTGATCGGTACTTAGGTCATTTTCATTTACCTGTAACAAATCCGTTTGAATAGGTTTAAATTGAACTACGGTCATTTTTTCACAAGCAGGTAGAAGGGAACCAATTGGTCCTGAGTGAGTGCATGGGCCTTTGGTGCCACCATCTAGTTTTAGCAGTAAATGTCTTAATGGTAGCTCATTTGCGTGCAAATGGCATATACTCCATTGAAGAGGTCTACCTAACTGATTTTCCAACTGTCGAATTACTCCATCTTTCCAACCTGTATTGATATTCGTTCCGTCGCATCCAATAACCTGCAATTGCATTAATTCTATTCCTCGGTTTTTCTTGTCGCTCATAACTGCCTCGACAATACCTATCGCTCGTGACTGCGTAAGTGCTAAATGTCCGAAATATAAACTTCCAGGTTCTTCGATTAGGGCAATGTGCTCCTCCGTTTAAATAACTCGGCGGCCCTTCTCCTGGTCTTTTCTCCCATCAAAATATAGACCTTTAATGAAAACGTTTCTTATAGTTTCCGCTTCTTGTAACCGCAATCGATTTTTATTTACTTCTTGTCGAATCTTATTCTTGTCGATGACTTTTACTATATCGTTTTTCGTAATGAGCTTCATATCTTCTAAAACGACACTCGCAATTTTTGCTGCAGTGCGACTAGAGACACCTGTCAGGTCTGCGATTTTTGCAGTATGTAACAACAAGTGCCTCATTTGAAACATCCTCTTTTGCTTCTTTGGTTTTGGTTGCTTTTCTAGCACAAAGTCTTCGTCAGTATTTGTATCTGAGCTCGCAGAGGTATCACTATCATTTTTATGGAGTATCGTAGAACTTTCAGTAGCCCTGCTGCTATGCTGCCAAAGTGGAAATTTGGTGTCTCTAGAAACAAGTGTACGCTCCGAGTGCCAAGGCGACCACATTTGAGGTCTTCCGAGTACACCAGTGTTGCCAACTTTTCAAATTCCATTTACCGTACCGCGCAATTGAAATGACCGTATATGGCCTCCCAGTACCGTACACTTTTATGTTGTAAAAAAAACTATATTGTGTAAATCTTTTTGTCGGACTTCTAAAAAAAAGGTACTCATTATATTTTAATCAATTTCTGGTCCTTCTACTTAGCTTCTAAAAAAAGGCCTTAGCTTATATTTATGTACATTTGTACAAACCAGGTCCTTTTGAAGAACATATGCTGTAAAAAGATTAAAATTGCATTTTTACATTAGACTATGTCATTTTAATCTTCATTAAGTAATTTAAAGGAATCGGTCCTTGCACAACTAAAAGACTTTGCTAATTCTGTTCAAAATACCGTACGTTTACCGTACTTTTTATGTAAATACCGTACTTTTATGTAAGGTAATGACTTTGGACCGTATACCGTACATTAATCGAAATTACCGTACAAATATACCGTACACTCTTAGTACAGTGAACTCCAAGCTGAACTCAGCCGTTGAGGTGACATCTACTTAAAAATGGATGTACTAGACAGTATACGAATTCATAGAAACTCTCTACTTTGACAAATAAATTTTCAAATATTTCTTAATCGGAATTTCGCTTAGATTTGAAAAATACACAATAAAATTTAGAAATATTTTGGCGGGATACTTAGAAAAATATGTAGAAAGAAATCTCCTACTTTTTAGCTTTGATTTAAAAATCATTTTTCATTATTTTTTTTAATTCACTAAATAAACTGGACAAATAAAAAGTATGATATATCATTCTCCAAACCGTATACTTTAAGCTTATACAAGATTTATTTTAATACATTTAGCGGAATTTAAACGCTAACGGAAATGGTGAACCCTTGCTTCTTATAGTAAAACAGCGGTCTTAAAGGCTAGGGACGTGGCGACCACCACCTACTTTTACCTCGCCCTCACACCGGCTCTGTTCTATAGAATAATCTGGAAGGAAAATTCCACCCCGCGCGCATGCACAAAATTTTCCCGTACAATCTCGCATATCCCTTTCCTCGTCCTTTCTAGAAATTTTCATATATTATATCCCTGCTACTACACTGGCTATTCTACATCACAATACTTCTGATGTGCGCTGTTTTACATTCTAGAAGACTGAAGACGACGCTTAACAACATAGTTGTTAACTACATAAATAACAGATAAAGTTTTCGAAAAATTGTTTTTTTTTAATAGTTTCAATAATGAATGTGTTTGTTAATAGTGAAGACGTGAAATATACAAATGACTTTATACAACCAAAGCCGAAAAAACTGGAAATACTATCGAGGTATGTATAAAAATATTATTTTTAAAATTCTATAAAATAAACTGATAGTTTATTTGATTTGATTGTTATTTTATATCGAAACAGTTGTATTTTTGTAATTTGTATACTAAAACACCTACCGGCCGGTAATATAGACACAGGGACAGAGTATTTTAATTTTATAGAGAATTTTTCTTTAAAACTATTTACAAAAACAGTTTTACTTTACGAACACACGAATTTCGAAATATTTTTTGCACCATTAGAAAATAGTAATTTAATCTTAATCTTAAAAATTGCTTATTTTTAAACGAATATTTGTACAAGTTTGCCTAGTATATAGAGTGTCCCATTAGTGCGTAATTGTTCAATATTTAAATTTGTGTTATGGACACGCAAAAAATTTCAAATAAAAGTTATATGGATTTGAAAAATACATATTTTAAAAATATTTTGGATATACAGGGTTGCGTTTTTGCCTGGCAAATAAAAATGTATGTTTTTTAAATAAAACATCTTGTATTCTATTTTATTTTTATAATGGTTTGATAATACTGTATTCACCTCTAGAAAGTTTTTAGAAAATATTACAATGTTGTCAAGCAATAATTATTACTGAGGCTTTTCCTATGGGGCATCAGTATTGCATTCGTGCAGACGAAAAAATATTCTGACTCCCATTTTTTAAAACTTTTTTTCATATTTCTGATCATTCTGAATCCGAAAATACAAAAAAAAAATTTCGTCTGGTCGTCTGTATGTATGCCGGCACGATAACTATAAAACGAAAGTTCTGATTGAATTGCGGTTTTGATTTTCTCGAATAATTACTTCTAACTTAGAACCCTATTGATTTTCAGAATTTTCGGTTCATCCTAACTACTTTAATATTAAGTTTCTTAAAATCCGCCTATGCAATTCTTTATGTGACAATTTTAGGAATTCCAATTATTTCTAACTTCAAAATTCCTAACATTCTTTACACTCCATAAATTGCAAACATTCTCTAATGACCTGTCAAACAACAGCTGTTGATAGTAAAGGTGAAATATCTAAGGCATTTGCGACCTTCATACTTGGCAACCATGGCCATTTTGGAGGCTATTTTCATTCGAAATTAGTCGCCAAGCCTGCCAATTCATGAAAAATATATAAGTAGTTTCTTAAAAATGACTTTTTTATGGTGGTGCTATTAAGCGTACTATTTCGCCCCTAGCCACAAAAACACCTTCATCAAATTTACTGGTTCTCTGTCGCAACCCCATAGAATAATTAACCGGCAAGTTTATTTGGCAAAAATCAGAAAAATGCTTGGCTGTGCCTGTCAAGTATCAAGATGTTAACTGTGATATGTGAATGGCTCTTAAATGTCAAATTATTTAAAAATGTATACTTGTTTTGATAGTTATTGCAAATAATTTGTAATGTATCTCAATTCAGGCTTTCCATAAATAAACGTACAGCAAGACAGATAATATAATGTTCTTATAGAAACTACTTTTTTATTAGATAAAAGAAAGGTAGTATATAATGCTCATTTCAAATTTGGATCAATTATGATACCGAGGTATTTTGTTGTGTTTTTCATTTTAATTATAAAGTTGTCATTTATTTGTATGTTGAAAGAAGGCCTTCGTAAATTACATTGCTCTCTATGGATCTACTTTAACACAAAAATAGTTTTGTGGCTATAAGTTGCTATAACCTATCCTCGCAAAACTATTAATAGGCTATAACCTATCTTTGCAAAACTATTAATAATTTAAACATAGTAAGTAGTATTAATATAACATCAAGTAATTTTTTAAAATAAAGTACATGATCTTAAAACAAATAATCTATAATAAATGCGGATAAAAAAAATAATAAATTAAGGAAAATACTTAAAAAGGGCAGGTTTAAAGAGTATTATCACAAGAAAGTATATCCGTTCTGTTTATTTACCAAGTATTGTTTGAGGTTACTTTTGAATACATTTATATAGTCTAATAAAGTCTAATAAATTTTTTAAACCTTTAATAAAAATTGTATTTTGGGAACTTTTAGTGATGGCTTGCCGTACATGAAAGTCAGATTGGCTTCTTGTATTATAGTTGTGATATTGCGAATTATATTGAATTTTGAATTTTGAAATTAATGTAAACCTGGTTACCTAAATTATGATAATTTAATTTGGGGTCTGCATCATTCTCTAATTTCAAATTAATCTCATATTAATTGCTTGACAACATTGCAATATTTTTTAAAAATATTCTAGAGTTTAATACAGTATTACCAAAACATTCTAAAAATAAAATGAAATATAAAGTGTTCTATTTAAAAAACATACATTTTTATATGCTAGGCAAAAAAACAACACCCTCTATATCCAAATACATTTTTAGAATATTTATTTTTTAAAAGCATATAATTTTTATTTGAAACTTTTTTACGTGTCTATAACATAAATTGAAATATTGAATAATTACGCTTTAATGTATTCGAAGATATATCTAATTTTTAAATTTGTAGTAATTTATTTATTTTTTATTTAAATACAAATTATAGAAATTTTTAGTATTTTTTTTTTTAATTTGATTGGTTAAACTATAACAGACATAGTTCCCCAACTCTTAAAACAGATCAAAGAATAATTTATGTTCATATCTGCTAAAAAAATATAAAAAATTAGCTCAGCAGAAAGTTTTCGACTCTCATTTTTATTAATGCTAAATTCTCTGTTAGAAGCCAAACGGAACTTTGTGGTTTGATAATATCTGTTCAGGAAATGTTTCTTTTAGTGATTTACTATCAAGGCATTCATCTCAGATTATTTTTTAAACATCGAGAAATTTTTATTTAAATTAAAATTCATTTATTAAAGTAACATAATCTTGGTAACTGGTCTAAGCGATTCATAGGAAATACGTAGCAAATTGGGTTAAATCAAGCAACTTGGTATAGTTGCTTAATATACCGTAAAACTTGGGTACCTTTGCGGGATACTTTTCCGAATAAGTCAAAAAATGTTTCGCAGATTATCTTGAAACATTTTAGTTATGCCGACATGACTGAAGAGCTTCTTCTGACACAAAAAGAAAGAGTATAAAGTAAATAGTTTCTGAAAAAAAAAAAAAAATTATTAATTGGGTGCCTAAGTTACCCCGGGTTTGGGGCTACTTAGGCACATTTATAAAATACGTTATAAATTCCACTTAAAACAGAATTGTGTCCGTATTTAGATGAAATAAGTAAATTTGGGCATGATACTACAAGCAATTTTTTTTATTTTAATTTTTTGTGAAAAAAACTGAAAATTGAGCGAAATAGTAACTTATATTGGTAAAAAACTAGGTACATAAATGAAATGACACGTTTATTTAAAAAATAAAAACAATATAATAGATTGTCCAACCTAATCCTAAACTACAAGCAAAACTAAACTTCATCCGGATCGAAGTCGTTATCTGCATCAGAGTCATCAAACACTTCATACGTCATACGTCACTTCGCTCGCAAGTAAAGAAAGAATATTTGCTGTCGTTATTACAGCGACCGCATATCCATTTTTGGCATTTTATGCCCACGTACTCTTTCCAATTGATGAGGCAAATTCCACATTTGGAGTTAGTGTCGCTTCTCTTTTGTCTTTGGCTTTTTTTAACTGGGTACATGATCTTCTTCTTTGGCTTCTTGCCTTTCTTAGGGGCAGCTAGACCCAAACTTGAAGTAGATGCAACAACCTCAGTCGTAGTTTCGTCGATGCCAACAGAGGCTTCATTGGACGGAGTTGGTAAACCTCTTGCTTCAGGTGTTGGCGAATCTCTTGGTTCAGGAGTTGGCGAATCTGTAGCTAAATTTTTACCCGGTTGAATTTTTTACCCCTATTTCTTTTTTTACTGTCGGAGCCTATCCCTCGATGTTCTTTGAGAAGATCGATGAGAGAGGCATCTAAGTTTCTACCAACAGCTTCGTTGTCTATTAAAATAACGTTGGGAATTCTCTTTAGCACTTGTACTGGATCAGAAGGATATAAACCAGTCGTTCTGAAACCTGATATTAAGTTTTGTCCTATATTTTCAGAGACTGCTTTCAATAATTTGGAAAGCAACACTTGGAATTGTTCTTTTGGTAGATTTCCGGGGTACCGACTTTCCTTTCTCCAGGTGTCCAAAATTTGCCTCCACTTGACTTTTATCGGGCGAAAAACAGCGACATCAAGCTGCTGCATAAGATGGGTGGCGTTGGCCGGAAAAGGGGCCATATATGTATTGTTTTCTTTGCAGGATTGAATCACTTTTGGAGAAAAATGACTTGCTAAGTTGTCTCCTACGACAATAGTTGTTGCGCCCGGTGCCCGAGTTGAGTTGATATGTGGCAAGAGAATTTTGAAATTCCAAATTTCAAAAAGGTTCATATCGAACCACCCGCTTAAACTGTTTGCATATTTAGTTCCTGGAGGACCCCATTCACTCCAATTTTCGTACATATTAGAGGCTTTGTAAACAACCATGGGGGGAAGCAGATCCTCTCCAGCATTAACACACACCATAATGCTAATAGTGGTACGCAAATGACTCTGTACTCTTTCAACCCTCTTTGTACTGCCTGGAACAACTTTCTTGGATCCGGGGTCATCCGTAATATTAGTCTCGTCGTAGTTGTATATGTTGTAATCCTTAACATCAGCAAGAGCCTCTTGAATATTGTTGAAAAATGTCATAATGTCGTCTTTATCAACAAACGCTCTAGACCTCTTGATATTTGATGCCAGTCGAACTGACAAACGGTTCCTGGCAATGAAACTATTCAGGAAATCATCTAATGGGAGATTGTTTTTGAATGCTCTAACAGTTTTTCCTTGTTTCTCAAGGTATTTTTCAATGAGTATTCTTACGTCATACCTAGTTAACGGGAATCCCCAACTGGCAACAATTCCAAAAGTCTCCGTAATGGTGGCCTCTTCCGCGTCCGATAGAACTCTTGGGTGACCAAGGAGCTTCCGCTGAGGTCTGCCCCGAGGCACCTTGTAGTTTGCCGAT